GAACCACTGCATCTGGAAAGCAGGGGAAGGCTCTGCTCTTGGCACAGGCCTACCAGGGTGGGCAGGGAGGGAAGCCCCAGCCCCAAACTCCTCCTGCATTGGCCCTGCTGGGATATGGGGCTGTAGGGCATCAATGGTGAGTGTGCGTCTGCACCATGGTCAGCAGTGGCACATGGAGAAGGAGAGGGAGAGATTAAATTTGGGGCAACCTTCAGCCCCGACCTCCTAATTCCACATCCTGTCTTCCCTCGCACCTCATTACTCATTGGCCTGTCGAGCCTGGACTCCAGCCTGCCAGATTAAGGACGGCGAGTTTATTTAAAAGGAAACAAAACAAAAACACGCCAGTTTTCCTCATTCCTGGCAGTCACCGAGATGTCTCCCTGGGCAGGACCACACAGCGAGCAGGCGGTGGCACGCCAACAATTCCCTCGCCCGTCCGCAGCAGCATGGCATCTGGGGGCTGCAGAGCATTTTGGGGGTTGCTCTGGAGCCAGGCTGTTTTCTGTGAGGTCCCTCTGCTCCAAGCCCCGTGCACTGTCCCCAAGTCCCCTGGGATGGGCTTCTCAACACTTCCCTGGCTGCTGCTGGGGGGTTTCGCTCCTTCGCCTGCTTTTGGGGTGGGACGAGCGGCCCCACAGCCAAAGAACAGAGCTGTGATTTTATTTTCCTTCTGCTTTGTCTGAGGGGACAGACAGGCTATTTGGGGGCTTTCTGCTCACATTTCACTTCCTTTTTCCAGACTTGGGCTCATGGGTGTTGCCCAGAAGAAGAATTTTTTTTAATTCTGGTCCAAAATGGGGAAATTCTTAAGCGTAAAATCCAGCTCAGCTGTGACCCATAAAGGACCTCATACTGCTGATGCTTTGTTAGGCAATCAAGTTACATGATTTAACTGCAGAAATGTAACAGATATAGTTTGTTTGTTGTTTAACTCACTAAAAATGTTTAAACATACAAAGAGGCTTAGAACATTTACAGTCATATCTGAAATTAGAATGTGTGAAAAATGACTTTTTTTTTCCTATTTGAACTCATGCAAAACCTTTGCAGTCTCCACGAAGGCACGCAGATGCAGCGATGGGACCTCATGATGGATTGTTGGTGTGTGCATGTGGACATGAAACCGTGAACAGAGGAATTTGCACAGGCCAGTATTCAGGTTTCGTTCTGAAACCCTGGCAGAGTCAGACCCCTAACTCTGGCTGGTGTTAAACAGGAAGGCAGTGTGCAGCTTTTCTCTTGCATGGTTTCCCATGTAGTACTGCTGACCTACCTCACTGCAGCTACAGCTGCTCAGGCCCTCGCATGCCTTCAGGCTTTCCTTCCGAGAGTGCTTCTGGTGCCAGAGGGTTTTGGCAACAGTTGTAATGTGCATGATTATTTCCATTGAGGAAACCATTGGTGATAACAGCAACGAGGAGGTATGCGGGTGTAAGCCACAGCTTGCTGAAGGCATGAGACCATTAGGGTATGTAAGGATAGGCTCCTGATGCTGTCAAAGAGGAAGCGGCTCTGCACGTGAAATAATGTAGGGAAGGGAATATGCTAAACATAGTTTAACCCCTAAGCTGCCCCCTGTGAATAAAGTGTTTCCAAAAGCCTTCAGACTTGGCTTGAGCTAGGTGCTCATTCAGCTAATGAAAAACATTACATGCCCTCTGTCTAACCAACCTGATATATTTGCAAAGCATTACAGCAAGAGGAGATGCTTTTTGGTCACTTTTGTTGCCATGTTCCCTGATACCAGTGTTGACGTTATAAACTCGAGCAGTATTTTAAGTTGCTGTAATCTTAAATTTTGTTTCCTTATGCAGCTGCCCAAGCCAGCTTACATGCTGATCAGGATCTGCTGCAGCCTGGGAATAATCTGGCACCAGCTTCTTGGGCAGGCGCGTAAATCCTTACTGACATCAATGAACTGAAAAATTCTGAGGCCTGGCAGTGACAAAGGGAATAGTGAATGAGAGCAGTATTTCTTTATATTGATCTACCTTTCCTCATCTACTAATAACACTGGCTGTTTACCCTCTGTAATAAGCTGTGATGGGTGCTATGTAGGTCTTTGCTTTCCAGTTCTCCAGTGTCAGTATTCAGCAGTTTCTCAATCAAGATTTGGTATGCTTTAAAGAGACTGTTTCTGAGACGCACCTAAATACAGGATGATTTTATTTCCTGAGGAAAGTGCAGAGTGTGATAAGTGGATGCAACAGAAGTTGGTAAGATGATGGAAACAACTATTAGGAACAAGGATTTAAGAACTCCTAGTGTGCATCACATAACACATAGTTAAACAGTGGAACTCAATACCCCAGGATGTTGTGGATATAAAAAATGTCTATGGCCTTAAAAAGTGATAACAAAAAGTAATGGATGAAATAAAAATCCATCAAGGATTTTTATCCATCAAGCCAAAGAGAGATACTGGCTCTGACTCAGTTAATGAGAGCTGCTGAAGTCAAAGCCAGGAACCTGAGATATGGGGGCAGTGGTATGGAGATTTTCTTTTGTGGTCTCTATCCTAAGTGCATGCTGGTGGAGAAGGAAAAATGTCCTTCCTAAACAAGACACTTGTTCTGATCCTTAAACAACCAATCTAAAATAAGGCAGTGATTAAAAAAGTACAAGCAATGATACATACCTTATGAATAGATGCCTGCCCTTCTGACACAAGACTGTGTAGGTACTGCTATGGTCCTGAGCAATAAGCTGATGTTAAGTGCTCCTTGAAAGTCAGCTGTGCTATGCTGTTTAGCACAAGAGCTTTTTGCAAGGATCCTTAAAGTTCATGCCAGTGTGTTGGCACAGCAGTGAGAGGCAGCCAAACAAACCAGAGGGCGTTTTCTGTGGGAAAATGCAAAATTTCAATTTGTTTGATAGCTCTGAGTCAAGCAAGTCTATTAAATGTTTTAAAAAGTTATTCATCAGATAGAGAAAATACTTTCCAGGAAAATAGGTTTTTCTCTGGGGTTGAGAAGCTCTGTGCAATGGATTCAGCTGCACTGAGCACCTTCAGGAGGACCCAGGCCAGGGCCTACCTGTGCCACACACAGTGAGAGGTGTGCATAAGTCTGGGCACTGCTTCAGCTAACAACAGCAATCACAGGTGGCATGGGCTGACCCCAGCCCAGGAATCAGGGCTGAGGGAGTCCAAGACATCTCAGTATTCGTTACTGGCCCACTGTCAGAGATCACTGCTCTCAATCCCCAGGTCCCATCCTTGCCATCCAGAGTACACTTTTAAATGTGTCTTAAATTACAGCAATTTCTGAGGGTTTTTTGTAAACTGGTCACAGATGCACAAGTCCTCGCAAGTCCTTTATACGCCAGACCTGGTGAAATAGAGGCTGGCCAGTCAAGATGAGAGGTCACTATGCAAAACCTACCCCCACCCCTGCTCCTTTTACCTTTATACAGTTTGCTGGTGCAGTAAGACGGTCCTGTGAGAATGCGAGGCTGTTGCTCCCCTCCTTTTCATGCTTGGGGTATCCAGCACTTCCCCTGGAGTACTCTCTCATGGTGTGGATTTCAGTTGGAACAGGACAGGGAAGTTGAGGACTCATTAAATACTGAGGCAGAATGGGAGCCTGCAAAGAGCTAAGTCCATGCCAAGAATAGAGGCAAAGTGAGACAGGCTAAATCAAATGCATCCAAGAAAATTTGCACGGATACGTCTACCAAGGAAAATACATACATTCATAGAAGCAGAGATTTAGGTGGATCTAAGGCAACTGCCTTAAATTCACCACAGTTGCCTTTCCAGTAGTTCACTGATTTCCCCCCACAGTAGTCTCTCATGTTTACTTTGGCATTTGTAGGGAAAATGTCAGCGGAGTGCTGCTGTGAGTGTGCCCTGCTGCATGATGTTGAGCTGTTCCAGTACCACGGCAGCTATTTTCCAACAGATTAACATTCAGATACTGGGAGAGTTCATCCAGTTCACATAAATCTGCATAGAAATTTTTATTAACTTGTATTTGGTGGGCCACCTACAAAATGAAAACAGATTTCTTACATTCTTGTAAGATAGAAGAGACAAAATTAAAAAAAAAAAAGTCTATGAAAACATACGCCTTGCTGAAGAAATGAAAGTACTAATCTTTCAAACAGTGGCATTTGCGTTCCCAGCGCCTCTAAATAAAAACAACAACTTAATTGTCTACTTACTGGATTCGTTTTTTCCTTGTTTGGCTGAAGAGAAACATGCCAGCGGGAAGAAAAAATGGATGTGAGCAAAATTAAGGCACTGGGTTGGCACTTGGGAGATCTGGTTTCAGTTCCTGGCTCTGTCAAACACTTCCTATGTGACCTTGTAAATGTCACTTTTGAGCATGTAAAACCATCTGGCCTGATCTAGTGAAACATGTATTTAATTTTAAGATGCAAGTAGTTTCACTTACGTCTCACACGCCTAAATTTAAAGACATGTTTACATGCCGTGCTGGTTGGGAGCCACAAGGCACGGCCACTGCCATGGCAGAGCGCTGCCCCGCTGGCTTCAGGATCCCAATTTTGTCCCTTTTTGCCCCAGGTTTGTCAGAGCAGAGGCAGCCACCCTCCTGCTGAGTGCAGCACCAGCTTGGTAAGCTCTCGTGCTCAGCACGGGAGTAATGCAAATAATTCACATCGAGGAAAGCTGTGGATTCGGATGCTGTTGTTGTAAATAAAATCTGCATTTAGGCACTGAAATAGTGGCCTGATTTGTAGAGTTGCTGAGCAACCAACGCTCATAAAGTCAAGAGCCCATGAACGCTTTGTATTTCAGAAAATCAGGTCAGTTATTTGGAGGCTAAAAACAGAAACTGAACCCTGATTTCAGTGCTTGAAAATCTGCCCTCGTGTGTCTTCAGGTGCACTCTGATGCCCTGTCCCTTGTCATTATAACCAGCCATACCCACAAACACTGCATAAAGCTGAGATTCAGAAGTAAAAATACCATCATTTAACCATTTCATTGTTTTCTAAATGTAATTAAAAAGACGAGTTCCACTGAGACATTCTAAATATATGTATATAATATACATATGTGTAGACACATGTTTCTAATGTAAATGGTATATATAATGTTATTTTATGGCATAGCAGATGTTTCTTAATTCCCTCCCACCGCACACTGAAGCAAGATTATGCCAGGCTATTTTATTATGAATAATGTGCTTGCTCCATCATTAAGAGGGTTATTAAAGACATAAACAAACTTTTATGCCCTGCTTTTCAACAGCTGCTGGTGGTCTACAAAGTGATAATCCCGCTTTCAGCGAATATTCTTAGACTTAAAAATAAATAAGGAAAAAGTAAATACATGGCACAGGCATCCAGGCTGACTTGAGAGTGGGCAGACTGTAAGTGTGACATCTCAGTGCCACGGAGGTGGAGGTGGCACTGCTCCTGTGCCAAAGCCTCAGACGGTGGGCTGGAAATGAGATGATTGCTCCATGCACTGCCCCTTCCCACCACCACACGGGAACTCCTGTGCTAAGTAAACGAGCCCGACTGGCATTTATTTCAGTGGTGAGAGCAGGAGAGCAAAAATTTGAAAGCAAAAAAGCAAATGCTGGCTTTAAATAAACAAATAAACATCTCGCAAAAATACAGTGCGCACAGTAGCTGTTTTTTCCCTTCCTAATTAATTACGTGGCAGAGACACGGCTGCAGATCCTGTAGCCTTAGCTTTGAAGAAAATCAGCTGAGTAGGTTTTGTAACTTCAAACAAAAGGGTAGGACGGGACAATAAAGGTTACGTGGCCGTGTTCCGTCACAGGCGCTATCGCTGTTAATTTCAACGGATGTGACCCCTACATGACAAAGCTCCAAAGGTGTACGGGGAAGAAGGTTTATTCTTATAAATAGGACCGATGCCAGGTCAAGCAGGCCCCCTCTCTTTGGACTTCCTAAAGAAAACAGCTTCAGACAGCTGAGCAAAAGAGTTATGGAGAGTGCTGAGATAGGAAATATCCACGGTTCCTGATATATTATGGTTGGCCCAGGAAACAAGGAAGCTGAGAGCCAAAGGTAGTCCTAAAGGTGCTAAACTGCACAGCGCTAATGTACACAACAACATCCTCATACAAGCAGATGTTTAAAGAAAAGAAGGGGGAGGGGGGGCTGGGAATGGCATTTAGGCCACGTTGCACTCACCCTAGGGAGGAAAACTGAAAAAGGGGAATGTGGAACCAATTTTCAAGCTTGAGCAACTGAAAGTCTATTAAATGATTCTGTCATCAACATGAGATGAGAAAAAAAGTAATAATTTATACAACAAATTGGGTAATTGTAGCTGCACGGACAAATGATATTTCTTCCCTGATAACTGAATAAACATTGTTACAAGAGGAAGGTTAGAAGGAAATAGCCACTTTGGTGAACTACAAGCACCAGGTCTCTGCTTCTGTTCGTGTCAAACGAAAGGCACTGCAGGCTGAAGGGCATAAAGCTCCTGATCACAAACAAATATTCTGAGCTGCTTAGGGGACTTTTTTTCAGAAACTGAGCTGATAAAGATGGGCTCAGCTTCACGTAACTACCAGCAATCTCAGCCCGATTACTGCATCACATCAAATTTAAATCAGTTTAATTCTCTTGAAGATACAGCAGTGTAAACTGGAGGAATTAACAGTAATAATGTGCCTTATTACCACTTAATTCATTTACTGAAACTATTATTTTCTTAAACGTAAGCTGCATAACAAGCAACAAAACAAACAGGACAAACCTGGAGTGGGTGGATCCAGGAACCACGCAGCGGGATTGCCATGGGTGCAGCTGTGACACTGGGCTGTTGGGCAGAACCTTCCAACTGAGCACTGGATACATCAGCAGTCAGCCAGGGCTGCACCTGAAGCATGCAGGCAGCCCAGCAGCCAGAGCACACGTGGGAACACATGCATGGCAGCCACATTCCGGAGCTTCAGGGCCTTGGTGCTGTATTTTCTTTTCTGCCACAGCCTTCCTGCGGGACGCCTGTGGCCTTTGCATTGTTCTGGGCAGACCTGTGCTGGGTTGTGCCTCGGGGAGCAGCTCCAGCAGCCCTTCCTGTGGGGTCACTGCTGAGAACAAATCCTTAAACAACCCACCTGGCCCGGGGACACACAGCATGTAGGTCTGGTCTCCAAACTTGTTAGCCCTCAGGTTGGGGGAAGGCCACGTATGTTTCCTTACAAGGCTTGCACAAGCACAGTTAGAAACTCACCTTCCATGGGAAATGGTGGAGGCTGTGCCGGCGTGCGGCCACACCATCTGGCCATGAAGGTGCCCAGCAGTGGCTTGCTTACGGCTGCACAGTGGAACGGAAGGGACAGGAGCACAGGCTGTTGGATTGCTGTGGGCTGCTGGGGCGTCAACAGGACACAGGCTGCAGGGGCCACATGTGCTGAAAGGCCAAGGGCCGGCTCCTCTGCTGCAGGCTGGGCCTTGAGGAGCTGGAACAAGAGGAGGTACAAAGGAACACGGGGCTGTGCTAGGATCAGTTTCCTGTTTGATGTCTTTCTGCGTAACCATTCTCTATCCGAACGCAGGCACGTGTGTAAACAGCGCCAGTCCCCCGTGCCTGAAATGAAAAATAATAAAAATATATTTACATGACTTTAACATTAGGCTATTAGAAAGCTGCAGTCAGTATAACAGAGAGGAGAAAAAATTACAAAGAATGATTTGCATAGCAAACGCATTTCACAGTTGTTTTGGACAAATGCCCTCGGTAAATATGTTTAAAGTCATGTACAACAAGAATATTTTATCACAAGTAACCATGTTTTAATAAACACTTCGTCTTTTGGTATTTCATTCTTTCTCATCATAATAATAGAAATATAACACCATATATCACTGTAAAACACATTTCCACATAAACGCTGATAAGCACAAAATATTTTTCATCATTTACATTTTAACTGTAATAATATATGGCAGGATTAAAGCTGCATCCATCATGTGTCTAACTAACCTTGCTGTAATGAATTTTTAAATGTAATGGTTTCTGTCACAAAGTAAAATCATACATAATATCTTTTGACACAGTATGCTGGCGTACGCGAGGTTTTAAAATGTAAATGCAACTTCATTTTTAATTAGATTTATAAACTCTAATCGCTATTTTCTTTTCTGTAAACCAAAGGGGGAAAGAAAAAAAACGTGGGGCTGCGCAAAGCCTGCAAGTTTTTCCTTAAGGTACGGCGCTGCTGGAAGTGGGCACGCGCCCAGCTGTGCTGCAGGAACAAAGGCTGGGCACCGCGCACCCACCTCGTGCCACCGCCAGGAGCCGGCCGGCGGAGCTGCAAGGACAACAGGGACAGCAAGGACAGCAAGGACAGCCCGTCCCCAGCCCTTATCCTGCGCAGCAAACAGCCCGGCTCAGAGAGGAGAATCATTAAAAATAATTTGCAGGAGCTTTCTGTTCAGCGAGCCCTTTTTTTTTGATACAATATTTCCTTCAGTGATTATTGCCGCGGACATGTTCTGCCATATGGATGGAGCCGGGCGAGGAGGCGGCTCAATACCTGAGTGGTTAATTAAGAGCTGTTGCTGGGCCACAAGAAGCAGGTTTGAAATCCCTCTTCACTCACCGACAATGAGTAGCTTTTTTAGCAGCAGCAGTCACTGGGGACAGCCAGAAGCGCAGGGTAATTATTTGAGATAACATAGAGCTGAAGAGCGCGTGTGCGCGCCCATGTGTGCGAGGGGGAGCGCGCCGGCGAGAGGGCAGCGCTACAGAAAGTTTACAATAAAAAGGTCAACATCTCCTATTTTTCTGTACAGTGTCGGCAGTCTGTAATGCCTTTTTAGAGTGAATGACAATCTTTTTTTTTTCCTCTTAAAAAATGAATCTCTTATTTGGTATTCAAGCGTTGCAATTGTGAGCGTGGGGCAGCTGGGCCAACCTGAACGAGCCACGCTCACGTTATCAGCGCGGATGCTGAAATGACTTTGATTGCATTGTTGCAAAGTAGCAGTAATTCCAACATTAACTCATGGAAACCCTGCGTGCTCTCAAGAACAAAGGAGAAAAGCGGTGAAACAAAAGCCGCGAATGAAATGAAGAACGTCCTTAACACAGACATTTAGAGCGAAATTCTCAGCACACTGCCACAGGAACAGCAGAGACTGTTGGCTTTAACCAAGGGACTCACTTGAGTCAGATGAGTGTCTGGGCTTTGGCCACCACGCTGCTCGTGGCTCGGGGAACCTGGGTGTACCACTGAGCTGCCATTCCAGCCCACCACTGCCCAGTACTCAGATAGAAAGCAAACTGTGAAGCAATACACTGAGGTCCATTTCATTTCTCAGAGCTGCAGAGAGTATGAGCATCCTTTCTTTAACCATCAATGCTCATCTACATCAGAAGCTTAGAATGCTATTTCCCTGTTTGTCTGGTTGTTTCTAAGAAAGTCTTTTTCTACTCCTTTACTGAGCAGCCAAATGATGAAACCTCAGTCATATGCTTCTGGCATTTCCAAAAAATCCCACATGTGATTTCCAAGTTAGTAGGCTTAAATCTCCATCCAGACAGGCTCTGTGTGCAGCTCACACAAGCGCTTAGCTTTGTGCTGTAGGGTAAAAATAAATTCAAGAGGGAGAACCTTCATCCTCCTCCTCTCTACCTCCATTTTCACATCCTCTCAGATGCTGGGAACAGCTCAGCCAGAACGACAGGAGACTTTGAGCAGAGGCAATGGGAGGACATGCAGTTACTGGGCATCAACCAAAGATCCAAACCATCCGTCAGAGGGGGACACGGCGTACCTGTGCCCCTGCTCTTTCCCAAGGCAGATCTTGCAACCTTTGATGTTCCTCCAGCGCAAACAATACCACTCCAGCAGCAGCACTTTTGCCAGTGTAACTGTCTCAGCTTTGTTTAGAGACTGCCCAATATGTTAATTATCTTCTTTACCTCGGTGGCATTATACTGTCAAACCATACAACAGTCTTTAGAAAATAAAAGCTAACACCCTAAGCTGCTGTACCCGGATCCCATAATATCTATTCACTGACAATGCCTGAGCTGTCAGATCAGAAGAAGCTTCATTCGAATAAAGGTGGGCAGATGTGTGATAATGAGACAGAAGCATACAGATGCTAATATAACTGTTCAGCAGAGCAGGCTCGTCTTCGTTAGGCAGACCCAGGTAGCAGCTGCAGACTGTCAGACACTGGAATGCTGCTTTCTCTTGATTCTCATTTAAGATCAGCTTCGTTCGCTGTCTGTCAGTGAACTTTTCCCTCACAGGAGCCTGGACCCCTAGGTGATCAGTCACATTTCGACATAACTAGATGTCAAAAGAAGTTTAAGTTGTATGACGAACTGTGATGCATTCCCTGTGCTGGCTGGCAGTCTCAGCCCTCCAAGGCGTCTTGTTAATGATCCACCTGGAAACTCTAGAGTATTTCCTGTATTTTGTTTTCTTATTAAAATACCGGCTAAGCCTTTGTCAATATCCATGTCAGCAACTGTAAGCTCAAGACAATATTATCACAAGCATAATTTGATTTAAAAATGGAGCGCTGGACCGACGCTGACCAGGCAGCAGGAGACACACGGAGCGAGCAGGATGCAAGCGTTCAGCTGCTGTGATTTAGCATCATCAATTAAAACAAAATATTGCTGATTTTCTCCCGGGCAGAGGCAGGGGAAATGTAACTGAAGTTGCCCTATGCAATACGTCTGCAGCCAGGCAGCCAGCTCTGCTGATGAACACAACCAGGAGTAAGATAATGGGGAGTCTCTGCAGATGAGCACACAATTCAAATACGCAGGAGCTCGGAAACACAAATAACCTGAGACTGTCACTGCACGTACTGCTGGAACCTTTGAACCAGGAGTCTCAACTCCAGCAGCCTTTCATCTGTTGCTCAGAGCTGTTTACCCGCTCGCACTCCTGTTTCAGAGAGCAGACAGACAGAGGCTATTTTACATACCGTACACACGTGCACGCACACTGCAGTAAACACTCTCCTACCACAGTTGTGCAGCAAGGCCAGATACCGCCTGGTGCTCAGTCACACCAGTCTTCACATTCCTTCTCAACTCCTTTTCTTGCTTCTTGGCATTTGAATTTCAACATTACAATTCTTGTTAAGATTGCCAACATTATGCGTCCGGGTACGATTAACAGGTTTCTCACGTTCTTAAATTTCTGAATTAAAAGGCCACGGGAGAGACATTCGATGATTTATGAGATTCTTCCTTTTCTTTTTTGGGGTGGGTGCATTGTATGATGTGCATCAGCCTGACGCGTGCATTATGTTTTCATTTGAGAGCAGCTATCATCAGATCAACAGAAATGCTGAAATCACAAAATCCAAAATGCAGCTATTCCTCACAATCAAGCCCGTGGCACTTAAAGCAAACACGAGAAAGCAGGCAGCTCCATCCACGTTTGTGTGGAGGTTTCTGGCATCTCCAGGGCTGTGGGAAGGCCATGGGGACAGGCAGGTCCCACACCACGGAGCCTCTGGCTTGAGCCACTGCCGCTCGCGTTTGTTCCGTACACACAAATCCAGCTTCTAATGGTGATGAAGAGTAGATTTGGCAATCTGGTGCTTTCTGTGCTTGCCCCATATCAATATAATTCTTAATTAAACGCTTCTCATGGCCAGTTGATATTCACTAATACTTTCTAATATAAAACAAGATGTCTCCCCCTAGATTCTGGTGTTTAGTAGCCTGAAGCTCATTAGTGCCTGTGTTCTCACCCAGGAGTTTTAAATATTTAACTAGCTAGGATTCTTTCAAGAGGTCTTAACCTTATAATTTGTAATAACTTGGGGATCTCATATCTGAAGTGTAAGTTATTAAAAATGTTTCTTCCCTTCACCCTGCATTGATTTCCTACTTCTAGCAATCATGCTAAGAGCTATTAGGCCAAACAACTGCAGCTGCCTATTTATTTCATTGTAGTAAAACACAAGTGATGATAATAGATTTCCTAATAGAGATTGATCTTGCACAAAAGTCAAAAACAATGCACGTACCGCCTGGGCATACGGTGCATTATGCATTATGCTCTGCATGGTTAAAATCGTGCAGCTACAGAATAATACAGGAAGGTCCACAAAAATGAGCGTGCTGACTGATATATCTTTGCATGGAAGCACATTACTTCTGTTGCTTGTAATGGCCTGAACATGTGATACAAGTAAATTTTGTCTAAAAATTATCTAAGGACCACCTAATGTGCTCTGATGCTACTGAATGTCAAAAATGTCAGCAGCTTCCAGTAATGACTCTCTGACATAAACAGTAAGGGAGAAATATTACAGTTGCTGAAGGAGTTGCGAGGACAAGCATGCATTTTCATGAGAGGTCTCTTTGAATGGCAGCAAGTACTCAAGCAGGCAGCATTCCCTGCCAGTTAAGCTGGCCAAAGAAAGCACGCTTCCCCTGAAAGACAATTAAAATGAGTTAAATGAATTAAAAGGGCCCTGCGCAGTTAAAACGTGGTCAGAGGTTAGAAACGGTAGTATCTGGATTTATGAAAATCACGTGCCTGCCAAGCCTCAGAAAT